GAGGCCCGCTCTCGCCCCAGCGCTGCGCGGACGGCTCAGGACTTACCGGCTTCCCAGGAAACCCAGGGAACCCCCACGGACCAGAGGGACCGTCGTCACCCTGCAAAGACACAGCCGGAGGTCACAGTGCAGCAAAGTCCCTGTTGGGAGCAGTGGCTTTTCCCTGCCCTTTGCCTAACGCAAAGCAGGCTGATCCCCAGTTTCCTCTTTGCTAATGTATCTTGCAGGGACGGACAAAGGAAATTGCCCCAACTACTAATTTATGCCCAAAACGCTCGGCAACATGTCCAGCACGGTCTAGCAAAGCTGCAGGGCTGCCTGCCCAATACTGCCTGGGTGTGCCGTGCCGGCACGGGTCCGGTTCCCCCGGTGCATCTGCCGTACGCTGGCCTCCCATCGTCCCCCAGCCCACGGTTACCTGCTCTCCCTTGGGTCCTGGCCTCCCAGGGACACCGGGGGGTCCTTGCTTGCCCTAGGAGAGGTGGAAGGGGCGTCACGCAGGATGCCAAGTGGAGCAAGGGGAGGGAGGAAAAGAGAAAGCCCTTCACACACCTTGAAGCCATCGTCCCCTTGCTGGCCGAGGTCTCCCATGCTGCCTTTCTCGCCCTAGGAGAGTCAGTCGGGGGACAGTCAGGAAAAGTTTTGATGGCAAAGATGGGTAGAAATGCCCTGTAATATCAACTCATTGGATCCCGGGGTGGGAGCTGTGCCCTGCTCAATTTTAGCCCTTCAGCAGTATTTTATTGGGTTGGTAATGGTGGTTTTACCTGCTCTCTGGACCCATGCAGAAGACTGCAAGCACAGGTTTTACTGCTATGGTTGTGCTCATAGTGCGGACAGGCTGAGATCTCCGAAATACAGCCATCCCCCCAGGAGAAAGCCTCCAGGCACTAAAGGGCAACACGCTGCTTTCAGTCCAGCCTGAGAGGAGGGGAGGTCCTAGATCTCCTCCAGGAGACCCTCTCTGGTCTCCTGCTTCCTACTGCACAAGCAACTAGCCCAATCAGCAACCTGGCAGGAGACGTTTGTCTGGAAAGAGCAACCCTGGCCAAATATGGACTCCTTGCAAGGCAGAAATGGCTGCAATGGAGACCTGAAATTCCCAGCAATGGCCAGCTGCAGACTTTCTGTAAAAAATCTTTTTGACTTGTTAGAATTAAACATGCACATACAGGCTGGGAAGGAAAAAGTGTGACAGAGCATCTTCATTCCCTGCTCAGCTGCAAAGGCAAAACAGTAAATATTTTATCCCAGGTTAAATAATTTGACAACTACTCAGAGGTTCCTAGGAAATTCTTTGAGAAAATAAAAATAAAATAAAGCAAAACAAGACAAAATAAAATTTGTTGTTTGCTGAAATCTTGTGAAGCAGGGGAAGAAACCAAATCACAGCAAACACAGACACAGACAATTCCCCAGGCAGCTCTACCACTGCTGCAGTGAGCAAATAGCCTCTTCCTCCGGCTGCTTTCCCACAGACTCTGGCCTTGCTGAATGCCCTGGACTTTAACTTCTGCCATTGCTCATTTAGCTTGCAATAGATTTAAAGCCTTATTTATTACCAAGTTTCACTTTCCTGAAGGCAGTGAGCAACTGCCCGCCACCAGGGACTACTTGTCACTCTTATTTACAGCCTTGCAGCTGATGGATGGGACCATGAGGATGTACTTGGCTTCTCGTGCCAAGGTTGAATCCATCATCTCATCAGTAAGTAGCAGAGAGAAGATGTGTGCTTTTGTGGAGTCAGCAACGGTGCTGAGAACGGGGGATTAAAATACCGCATGCTACGGGGGCCCGCTTGCGATGCTAAGAGGCTACAGAAACTAGAAAAGGACCTGTCAGAGGGAAAAGCTCCTGTGGGGACAGGAGAGAGTGTAAAGTGCCCATCTCTCAATGTCTGGGGAAACTGGGGCCAACATGTAAAGAAGTAAGATGTTGCAGTGACTGGGGTTCAAGAAGAGGGAGAAGTTGTGACTGTATCCAGCAAATTAAATGCTAGCGTCTACCCAAAGCCCCCACTGTGCCCAGTACCCGCACAATAGCACATCTCCTACCTTCGGTCCTTTTGGGCCAGGGTCTCCTTTCATGCCTTTCAGCCCAGGAAT